GCGCTTCTGGAACACCACGGCGCCCACCACGGCGCACACGATGATGCCCAGCAGCGCGCACAGCAGCAGCAGGAACACCCGCCACCCCGTCAGCGGCCCGCCGCGGAAGTTCCCCGTGGGGTCGTCCACGTTGTCTGGGGGAGAAGAGAGAGGGAGGTGAGCGGGAGGGGCGGGCCTGGCCGGACACAGGGGTCCCGGGGTCCCCCCCCCCCGCAGCACTTCCCGGACTCCCTCCCACCGTCCCGCCTCAGGCGTAGGCAGAGGTCCGGGATGACCCCCAGCCCTGAGCTCGGCCGGGCTCCGGCCCCACCCTGCAGCCCGTCCCGCGTGGTGCGCTGGGGGCTGAGGAGCTGCGATCTGACCGCGCCTCGCAGCCCCCCTCCACACTGGGGTCCCCCAGGTCTCTTCCCACCAGGCCTCGGGCTTCTCGGCTGTGACCCCACAGAGGCGGCAATGGCCGCGGGCTGGGCCACATCATCTGCTCAGCCACGGCCTCCCCGCGGGCCCCTCGGAACTGCCCTCTGCCGGGGTGGCTGGACTGAACCCCCAGAGTCAGGCCCATGAACCAGCGCCAGCCACAAGGCAGGAAAGGCCGGCGTGGGAAAGCGTGTGCTGATGGAGGCCGGGACCACCATGTTGAGGATTGACTTAGTCTCTACCTTGCCGGCCAGGAGGGGGCGCCACGTGGACCGAGCTGGGGCGTGGACCGAGCTGGGGTGTGGACAGAGCTGGGGCGTGGACCGAGCTGGGGCGTGGACAGAGCTGGGGCATGGACAGAGCTGGGGCAGTCAGGACCTCAGCAGGATGTTTGACCCCAGGCCATTTCAATTTGACTCAAAAAGTGAGTGACCACATAAAACCCAGCTCTGGGGCCAGGTGCTGCTGGCTCACACTGGTCATCCTAGCTACTCAGGAAGCTGAGATCTGAGGATCGAGGTTCAAAGCCAGCCTGGGCAGGAAAGTCCATGAGACTCTGATCTCCAATGAATCGTCAGAAAACCAGAAGTGGCACTGTGGCTCAAGTGGTAGAGCGCTCACCTTGAGCTGAAGAGCTGAGGGACAGTGCCCAGGCTCAGAGTTCAAGACCCATGACCAACAAAAACAAGTAAGACCCAGGCCCGGCCCCCCCAGCCCCAGCCAGCCGTGCTCCATGCAATCTACCCAGCCCGCAGCTCTGCAGGCTGAGATGGAAAAATTAGAGGAACCCAAGTCCCAAGTCCTGCCTCCCCCTCTTAGTCACAAGGGAAGCTGAGACTCAGCCCCTCCGGGTGCTCACCCCAGCAACGTGCGTCCTCGGGTGCCGGGACGTGTAGTAACCGACCACAAATGTCCGCTGGGCTTTCGTGGCCACGGGCCAGACCAGGGAGCAGTGGGCACCAGGGGCTCGCACAGGCGCAGAAACCCACAGAACCCACACAGTGAGGAGGCAGACTCGCCTGCCTCATTCTCCCTTCCAGAAACTCACCAGAGCCCAGCCAGTCCACACCGTGGCCTCCAGGGGCATGGGAGGCAGCGGTGCCATCTCCACTGGCATCTGAAAGCCACACTAGGAAAGGCAGACGGGCCATGGCACGAGCCTGAGGCCCGGGGGGGGGGGGAGGGAGAGAATGGTGGGGGGGGGGGGGGACGGACACGTGCACATGTTACCTTTCGGTGACTTCAGGAAGTTGACACCTGGCTCGATCTTGGTCCAGTCAATGTTTTCCTCATCAGGTGTGTGCTCCACCATGAGCTGGAACAGCTTGATGGAGATGATGTCATGGTTGTCTGCAGGATAAGAAGGATCTAAGCTGGGCGCAGGCACCTCACACCTGTCAATCTAGCTACTCAGGAGGCTGAGATCTGAGGATCGTGGTTCAAAGCCAGCCCGGGGCAGGAAAGTCTATGAGACTGATCTCCAATGAACCACCAGAAAACCGGAAGTGGCGCTATGGCTCAAAGTGGTAGAACTGAGGAACAGCACCCAGGGCCAGAATTCAGCCCCCACGACTGACAAAAAGAAAAGAGGAATCTAGAACAGCTGGATCCAGCTGCAAGGAGGTGGGGAGAGAGGGGGTGGGCAGAGTCCTCCCAAAAGAGAAGCTGCTGACGACCATAGAGAGCGGCCAGGTCCCACGCCTGGGCCTCCAGCCACCCTCAGCCCCAGGCAGGCAGAGCTGCAGAGAGGGAGGACAGTGGAGAAGAGGGCAGAGCAGACTGCACACCTGTGCGGGTGCGGGCCCCAGATCTGCTGCACTGAGGCAGACCCGACAGGGACTCAGCGGGGTCACTCCAGCAGCTGGGTTACAGGGTGGACAGTTGGGGGAATCTGGGTGGAATCGGGGCTGCCGCCTGGGAGGCTCCCACAAAAGGTGAGGGAGACAGAGTTGTGTCAGGCAGCCAGAGGTCAGTGTGTGGATGGAGCCGGCAGCCCTTGCTAGTACCCGGATGTGTCAGGAAGACACCAAGGCTGTCCTAAGCTGGACAGTGGCGCCGCTCGTGTCCTGATGGACACAGTCCCTACCAGGTCATTGAGGGTCACACGGGTGGCCAAGGGCACATGCCAAGCAGACGGCCATTTCGTGGGATAGCAATGTGGAAATCGATGATATTTAAACACCAAGAAAGGCCCTGGTGGCTCATGCCTGTCATCCTAGCTACTCAGGAGGCTGAGCTCTAAAGATCGAAGTTCAAGGCCAGCCTGGGCAGGGAAGTCTGTGGAACCCTTACCTTCCAAAAAATTGCAAGTGGAGCTATGGCTCGAAGTAGTAAGAGTGTGAGCCTTGAGCAAAAACAGCTCAGAGACAGCGCCCAGGCCCCGAGTTCAAGCCCCAGGACCTACCAAAAAAAGCCACCAAGGAGCTCCTCACTCACCAGACAGGTCGCCGGTGCCCGCGGAGGCTCCGAAGTAATAGCCGGTGGGCAGGCGCACGCCCGTGAGGTCGATGCAGTTCTTCCACTCGTTCCTGTCCTCCAAGTCCGTCATCACCTGGGACGCGATGGGCCGGCATGTCAGCGCAGCCCGCACCCGCACCCAGGCCGCCCTCGGCCGCAGCCCGCGGCGCTCGCACTCACCGTCAGGCGGCCCCTCGAGTAGCGCACGGCCAGGAAGGTGTCGTGGTCCCGGTTGCGGAAGTCGGCGGTGCAGCCCGCCAGCTCGGTCCAGCGGCCATCCTTGCTGTGGTCGTACGACAGGGAGCCATTGTTCACCATCACCGACACGTACGGGAACACGCGCTGGGACCAAGACTCGGGTTACTCCACGCCCGGCAGGGCTCGGCCTGTGGGCGGAAGCGGGGATCCCACCACACCCGGGGCTACCCCCCCCTCCCCAGGCTGCCTTGGTGCCAGGCCCTGGGCAGGGGAAGCCCCTGTCCCCCGCCTTGAGCCTGCCACGCCCGACTTCCTGCTGCACAGCGGGGCAGCGCCTACCTCGGTGGTCTCGTCGTTGGGGTACGTGTCCAGGAAGACGGCTAGGCCGTGGAAGTTGTCTTTGCTTCCAAACACAGGCCCTGAGGGTGTAGGACAAAGCCAGGCCACATGGTGCATGGCCTCTGCCTCCCCCCTGCCCGCCTCTCCTCTCCCCCTGCCCGCCTCTCCTCTCCCTCTCCCCAGCTGTTTCCCGAGGCTTCCTCCAGGAGCAGCAGGATGGTGCAGGGGGAGATCGCTGGGTACAGGAGCGGGGGGGGGGGGGG